GGGGGGGGGTAATAAATCTGATTTCATTGGGCCCTAAAAATGCAATTATTGTTAATATTTTGTTAATAAATTGTATGTTTGGCTATTGGCTATGATTTCAATTAATTAGACATGCTTTTTGATTACCAAAAATAGTATTTAAAAAACTGAATTTGGAATAATATTAAACAGAAAAACACTGATTTGGAAAAGCAGATTTCATAGGGCCCTACTTATTCATGCTGTGTGTACAAAACAGATGCTGACACTGTCAAAATGAATCATTTGAGAAGTGCTGCTCCGGTCCAAAACTCTTTTGGCTGTTGAAATTTTTGTGCATCACTAATAGAAATAAACCCTCTTGCACTCAATCATTGCTTAATCATACCACGTCTAATGTAGGACAAAACCTATTCAAAAAAATGGTGATCTGCTGCTGGTAAAGCAGCTCACTAGGGTTTGAAACACTGCCTAAAAGATGAAAAATGTATTTACCCAATGTTGGGGAGTCTAGCATGCTGTTCCAGGAAAGCATCCAAAGCTAACATGATTGTATGGAGCTGCAGAGGGGCCTGATTGGATAAGGACACATTTATTAAGTTAAAAAGTGACTGATTCTCATGTCAATAATGATGAATGGACTCTATATTTCTGACCTCTGGTTTACTGAAGTCTGGAGTAAGGAGCCGGGGGTCAGATAACTGCTGCTCCATCGTCTCCTACACAGACCGTAGAGAAAACAGTTAATCATTGTACTTCACCAATATTAAACAGACCAACTGAAGGGGGTGTTAACATACAAAGGTGAAGATTTTGGGCATCATGACCAAGCGGAAGATTCCTGCATGAGCGTACGGCTGGAATGATGAGGTATCACCAACCGCGAAACTGTAGGGAGACAGAACTAAATACACACACAGAGTTAAATATGTAAGTAGAGTACGTCACTGTGCATGATGACTGTAGAGTTTGTGTTTATACCTGTAACTTGGTGAGTGGAACCATTGAGTTCACTCATGCCATTGATCTCTTTAAAACACACACTCTGCCCAGTCTGGAGGCCATGTGCTCGGCTGTCCATACACGTCACAACACCAGGATTCCCCTGCGATTGGGTGTCAAGCAGGAAGTTAAAAAGCAACCCAAATCACAGAACTGAGTGTTTCAGCTAAAGTTCAGCATTCAGACTAAATGTGACAAAAGTAATGATCAAATGCCAAGAGGAATGTGAAGGTTTGACAGTTCAGCGCTCTCATTACCTGGCTGATGTTTTGGATGAAGAGCTCTTTTGGTTCTTCTCCCGTAGGGTCCGACACCTCAAACGCCTCCCCAAAATCACAGAACACTCGCGAGCAGATCCCAAACACATCACAGCCAATGAACTGCACCAAAAACGCATTTTCAAGCATCCAAACAGAGAGTAATATCTATATGCAAGTATGTCTGGGAATGACCGTACCTTAATAGGAGGCTGCTGAGAGTGGCAGAAACAGTCGATTTGTTTCTGTAAGCTCAGCTTTGTTTCTGTTAACACTACACACTGAAGAAATAAACACAAGAATAGAGGCATTAAGTATGATATGAACGTACAGAATAATGTAAATAATAATGATCCGATTGGAATGAAGTTAAATAATATAAAATGTTTGTTGCACTTTAAATTTTGCTGTTGTCAGCGGAGACCAACCTGGTATCTCTTTAGGAAGCTGAGGTCAGTGTTTTCATCCAGGACATCAGTGGCCACACTGACCTGAACGTATGGGTTTAACTCAGCCACTCGAGAATGGACAGCCTCCACCCTAATAGAAAAAAAAAATCATTATGATTACTGCACATCTTCATAGAAATAAAGAATTAGAGTCTTATAAGGCCACAGAGACACACATGAGTTCATTAGAGGTGGACTATATATATATCTTATAAAATTAATTTTATATCAAGGTATATACAGTATATATATAGTCACAGTTTAGATGCTTTTGTTCTAGAAAAGATAATAAAAACAGGGACTGAATTCAGTCTGCTTGAAACAAAAGTAACCATAGTGCACCTTTTCTTCTGGCTATGCACATCCTCCTCTCTGATGAAGAAGTTGGTGCCAAGATCCCAAACTTCACATCGCTTACAGTCATGAAGAGTGACTGCCTACAAACACACATGTGCAAAACCTCATAAGACAGTCATAATACAACTAAAAAAATTAACTGATCAGCAAATATTCCAAGTCGCCTATAACAATAAAAAATGAGTTCACAATACCCTATATATAATAGTTCAAAATTAACATTAACAAAACATTATACAAAAAAATTATAAATTACAACAGTTATGTCACATTGTAATAGTATTTCACAATATTACTGTTTTTTTTGTTTGTTTTTTTATCAATCAAAGCGGCCTTGATGAACAGAAGAGACTTCTTTCAAAGCCAGTAAAAAAATCGTATCAACCTTAATACACAACAGTGTATTGCCAAATAAACAAAAAAAATCAACCATGATATTTTGTGTATGCCAATGAAATTAATTATTAATTCCATAAAAGTGTATATAGAAAAAACTGAAATAAATTATATCTAGACATTTATCTTACCTTCACTCCTGCCAGAACAATGTTTTTTGCTGCACAACATGAGAGATTTTTGATTAGAACTTGGTGTGAAGTACAGCACTCAACAAAAATGACAAAAATGGTTTAATATAGACTGAAGATGATGTAGATGGTATTGAATTTATAACTCATAGGATATGAAAGCAGGAAGCTTACTGGAGGAAAAACTGAATACATACATATACATAAATCACTGACATTTCAGATCATGATATTCTAGAAACTAGGTATTTTCTACACCCTCATACTAATGTATAGCCATTTATAAAGAGATCGTAAAAGCTTGTAAATAGGAAAACAATGAAATACAAATATGAATACGAAAAAAGGACTGGAGTGGTGTATGGACGGCACAGCTGACCTATTTCCACTCCAAGGGCTCCCATTCCACTGAGAAACACAGAGGACTGGGCCATCTGCTGCATAGCACTGTCCCCCAGCACATACCGCTGCCGACTACACACACGAACACACAGTTAGGAGCAAGAACGCTCGACTGAATCTGATTCTTAATGAATCAGATTCTGTCTCAAAGTGTTTCAGCTTCAGTATTTACAGTGTACCTGTACAGAGAGTCATCTATGTCCATGGAGTCGGCCATAGTGGGAAGGGGAGAGGGGGTGTCCAGGTGTTCCTCTGTAAGATTCTGTAGGAGAGATAAAGAGCATCTATTCACTGCCGATGACAGCAGAGCAGAGAAACACAATCTGAGGCATTCAGTCCAGAAATCTGAATTTACAGCTGTCAGAGATCTGGGTATGTCATGCATGTTAATTCTCAGACCCTTTTGACAGAAAAAAAAAAACAGTAGTCATACATCAACCTGACCTGCTCACAAACACCTCAGGACTGGCATCTCAGTTGTTCTTCAAACCAAACTGAAACTGATTCATTCAAAAGAACCGATTCAAAAGAACCGATTCATTTAAAAATCTATATGCCTGCATGGTATTTTAGCACAAAACTATATTCACAATAGAAACCATGACTTTTAAGACTGTATTCATTTCAATGAGTGTTCCAGATTTGGAAAACAATTTTAAAATTCCCTGATGAGCATTGGAGCCCTGAGTAACTTGACAACTACTTCTGCCTGCAATGCCATGACAGTTTTATGCATTGTCATGTTTCACATGACATACATATCCTTGTCAAGTGAGCCACACATTATGAATTTCTAAAAAAGCAATCTGTCTGAGCACTGCCACACGCAATCACACATCTTACGCGTATAATTTCCTCCATTTAAAGACGAAAGACTCTAAATGAATATCTAAAACACTAAATAAACCACATCATCACAAAAACATCTCGTATTTTATCAGAGAACGTTAAACGTGTCCTAAAAGCGTTACTTTATCATATTGCTTACTCATATCTATATATCATTAGCACACCGGCTAGCTGAGCTGATCAGTAAAATAGCCTGTTTAACTAGAAACAGTTCAACCGAATCTGCAGGCACGACCCTGCTTATTAATGCGCCTTTACGGCAGCGCTGGTTTGTATTCAGTGAGTCGAGGTTTAAAGTAATGTCTGTAGTAAGGAAAAAGAGATGTGAATTAGCTACCTGTCAATGCGCGAGAGGAACGGGAGCAGCACACTTCTTCTACTGCGCGTGCGCACTGGGGTTTCGTCATGGGACTCCTTTTTTATGTCTTTACATTGGTTGGAGCATAAGAAACAAATGTAGAAAATATTTTGTGGAAAAAAAATATATATATTTTAATCATATTTTATACGACAGGAGTTATTAAAAAAATGCATAGGCAAAAACAATGATTTATTTTTTCATTCACCAATCAGTTTTTAGGTTTCAGACTATTTTTAACCAAAATATTGTCCAAAGATGATTCCCAACTGTTATTAACTATATAACAGAATGATTTGATATATTTATATTTGTATATTTTATAATTTAATGAATTTAATATTTATAATAAATGTACTTTATGGAATATGTGTGTAAAATGTTCATATTTTATACGACAGGAGTTATTAAAAAAATGCATAGGCAAAAACAATGATTTATTTTTTCATTCACCAATCAGTTTTTAGGTTTCAGACTATTTTTAACCAAAATATTGTCCAAAGATGATTCTCAACTATGTTATTAACTATATAACAGAATGATTTGATATATTTATATTTGTCTATTTTATAATTTAATGAATTTAATATTTATAATAAATGTACTTTATGGAATATGTGTGTAAAATGTCCATAAATTGATATTCCCATTTTACTCAATGTATCTATACACTGCATCTAATTTGCATATTAATGTGTTCTTGGGGCAAACCATAATGAAAAAAGAAGTGGGAGTAATAACTTGGCAACATTTTCATAAGAATATCTCATATTTCATAGGAATATTGATCTATTATAATTTCTTGTTGTGTCTCCCCAAAATGCCTGATTAACATGATGTTTGTCCTGGTGTCCTCTACAAAAGACATGTATGAAAATTATGCCCTGTTTCGTAACAAAAACCGATTTGAAACCCTATAACATTTTTAAAAATTTTTAAGACAAACAATTTGAAAATTAGTCCGATTTAAATGATAATTACAAAATAGTATCATATGTGCTAAATTTGATCACTCTGTCAATATCGGTCATATTTAAAGAACAAGGAGAAGGTGCGTTTATGATCAAACCTCCAAACATTTGATGTCTCTAAAAAGCCCATGCTCTGTACAGGACATCCAGACTTAAAATTATAAAAAATATAGTGTCCTCTACAGAGGGCAAAAGTCTATGCCTGGGTCCCAGGAGGATATTGCAGGGATTTTAAAATAGCACCTGCTTCATACTTGGACATTAAGAAAAGTTATCTTTGTAGGTGGATGAGTCTCCCTCTGCTTGTGATGACTTGGAATTCCAAAAGGAATCGGATTTACGTGTTTAGATTTAGGTCAGATGTCCAGATATTGAAATATGTAAAAACACTTTTTGTAATTTTTTACCTAGATGTCACACTGGATTTAACAGTTACACCTCAAGCTGCAATGGCAATCATGTAAAACCATTAATTCATATTTCCCTTAAATTTAGGCATAAACCAGCATTAGAAAAAAAAAACTGTAGCGCTTTTGGTGTCTGAAAATTCCTCTTGATGTCAAGCATTTCTAAAAGCAAGAAGAGTCAAAAGACACTGAACAGATATTATTCTGACCAAAGGTATTAATTACATTCCTAAACTGCTCACCACAACCATAATGCTGCAAAGCATGGAGCTTTATAAAACTCAATAGAAAAAAAAACAATAAACATGCATCAACGTAGGGAAAAGCAGAAAATGAGTAAAAGAATTTGAAGATTTAGAGGGAAATATTAATGCATCATCTTATAAAAACATATAAATAGTACAATTATTTTACAGAGAAATACATTTCATAATCTTTGTTTCTAATCTATTTCTTCTGTAGTCAGGCTCATGATTTTTTCAAAGTTATATTAATAAAATGACAATGCACAATAAATCTCTTATATACACCATGTCTTGATTAAAATGAAAGTGTTCTGATTTTGTCACTTTATGCTTTTACTCATTTTCATGTATAAAAGGATTTATTATCAAATTATGTATTATTAAATTAAATAGTGAGTTCAGTCTCTGTTGACTGTGTGACTGACATCTCTGTAGTGGCTCATTTACCATCAGCTGATCCTGAGGAAACTGGACTGACATCCAAGTACTGAGAGTCCTACAATATAACACACAGACAGTCACATACGAGTATGAGACATTACTGCGGTCACATCACATCAGGAGATCCATTTCAGAAAAAAAAAAACACAGCCAGAGATATTAGTATATTCACATTATAGCCAGAGGCATGAATGAAAAACTGCTCAAATGATCAACAACTCTCTCTTTATCACTTACACACAGTGACACTAATTAAGAGATTACATTTATATATAGATCAGTCATATCACAGAATTAAACTCTTATTAAACAGTTTGAAGTACAGAGACGGAAGTGGAGATTAATTATCTTAAATTCTGTAATTACACGAGGCCTTTTACTAAAATTGGGTCAATATAAAAGCTTTAAATAAAAACATACTCACAATAGTATAGTTCCTCCAGTTTATAATGTGGATCACCTTTCAAATCAGAGAGAAACTTTACTTCAGATTGTCCTAGTTTATTCCCAGTCAGATCCAGTACTCTCAGGTGTGAGGGGTTTGATCTCAGAGCTGAAGCCAGAGCAGCACAACCTTCATCTGTGACACCACAATAGCACAATCTGTAGAGAACAATGACACAATTTGAATTGGTGTTCAAGTGAGCAGGAGAGGAGATATAATGAAAAGCATTGCGACATACTGCTGCTGACAGAATGAGATTTATGCATGTTGATGCTTAGTGGTGCTGTTTGAAACTGTCATGTGATTCAGGACTGAACAGACACAAAAAGATGAAGGTGAGATAGTGACTGGAGAAACAATCACTTGCACCTCTAATACAAACCTACAGGAGGACACTTCTGCTTCACAGGACCCACATTTTATGCATATATGTATACATATCTATGGTTAGAAGTCCCAGTTGCTATAGAAACAGTCAGCGTTAACCAAAGACTTAAACTACTTCAGTCTGTGTGCATTGAATTTATTTAATACACAAGTTTCACAATTTGAGTTGAATTACTGAAATAAATGAACTTTTCCACGACATTCTAATTTATTGAGATGCACCTGTATCTATGGTTAGAAGTCCCGGTTGCTATAGAAACAGTTAGCGTTCGGAGACGTGCACTTAGGACTGCGCATGCGCACTGGCTGGTCTAGCCTGAATAATTAGCTTTTTTTAACGCTATTTGAGCAAAAGAAACAACATTTATGAGACAGATTTTATTGGTGATTTCAAATATGAAATTTAATCATAAGCCTGGCGAACAGGTTTGGAGGATTTGACAATTCCCCATTCAAAGAGATAGGAGCTGCACTTGCATGTCCGAGAGGCGTTTCAAAGATGGCCGCAGGAGAAGGCGGCAAAATGCATTGCATTGCTCTCTTCACTTTTATATTTATGTTTTTGAACTGTTGATTTTGTTTCCAAAGCTTCAGTGCATAACGACACTTGTGTCTGTCTTACAAATGTACTGCAAATGCTCTAAAGAACGCTGAAGGCGAACAGAAATGAGATATACAGCTCTCTGCTTGCAGCGTGTCAGTCATGCTCGTCAGGAAAGTGAGTGAAACACATTTTTATCAAATAATATGTCATTAATAGCAGTTCACTTTCGCGATTTGATACGATTGCATTCATATCAGCAGCAAACCATACCAGAGTTCACATGAACCATACCCCAGACAACCCCTTTTAAGCGGACTCGGGTACGGTTCACGGGTGCGCACCCAAGTTCGGAAGACAGCGTTCACATCCAAACTACCAAACTCTGACCTTAAAGGGGTCATATGAGGCGGGGCATAGAGGAGAAACAATAATGTACAGTATGTGGAAAATAATGTGTTTTTTTTAACCTTAAACCGCATAAACACATTACACCAAATACACAAAATAATGTTCTTTTTAGCAGCATCATATGACCCCTTTAATTAAACCAGAGTGCGCACCAAAAGTGCTAGTGTGAAAGAGAGATGATCTTACTCCAGCTTCTTCAGTTTACAGTGAGGATCCTCCAGTACAGCAGAGAGAAACTTCATACTTGAATCTTGTAGTTTATTCCCAGACAGATTCAGTACTCTCAGGTGTGAGGGGTTTGATCTCAGAGCTGAAGCCAGAGCAGCACAACCTTCATCTGTGACACCACAATCACTCAACCTGTAGAGAACAATGACACACTCTTCAGTCTCTCAGTTCTGATCAGAGCTGTGTTTCCCAAAACCATTGTTAGCTAATTATGGTCGTTAGTTCCATTGAATTCTATTAGCAACGACGGAACTTGCGACCATAGTTGCTTTCGGGAAACGCACCCCAGATCAGTTTAGCAGTGAATCCATTATTAAAGAGAAATTACAAACTTAAAAGCACAATATCAACATATTTGATAAATCATTGGACTGAGATCTAATGTCACAGAGCACAAACATTTGCATGGACATTTACCATCTAAAGTCTAATTTAAGTGGGATTAAAAACATTTCATAATTGCATTATTATTTAAAAAGAGTCAGTGCAGAAAGATTAACGTGATGAACATTAAAAAATTAATCCAGCATGTTCTTCATTTCTCAGTTCTGACTGTGTTGAGCTCAAGTCAAGATATTGAAATTTTGATTGTGATGTCCAAGTATCTATTTCAGTGTGACTCTCAGTCCTGCAGTATCATATTACTGAGGAGCAGCTCATGTTTTCAGTCATTTACAGCTCAGTCAGCTGAACTCACAGCATCAGAAAGAGGCTGAACACTTCAAATATACTTTACATTGTGTTTCATGTGTGAGAGTCATATATGATCTTACCTTAGTATCTCCAATTTACAGGGAGGATCTTCCAGTACAGCAGAAAGCAAATTCACACTAGAACGCCCTAGTTTATTCCCAGTCAGATCCAGTTCTCTCATGTGTGAGGGGTTTGATTTCAGAGCTGAAGCCAGAGCAGCACAACCTTCATCTGTGACACCACAATGCATCAGCCTGTAGAGAACAATAACCGGTGCTTAATTTGTAAATCGGAAGGTAGTTCTGAAAAATAGTTCTGAAAGTTGTAGGGCTGAGCAACTCTTTACTGCCCTAGTACAAAAGTAATCAAATAGAAATGTGGTGTCAGATAATTAACAGGAACTGAAACAGGTGTGTACTAATCAGAAACCATTGCAACTATTAAGCAAAGAGAACACAGGCAAACAGACACAGGGAAAACGAGACACAATGATAAAGAAACGTCTCGGTTACGTAGGTAATCTTGGTTCCCGGAATAGGGAACGAAACACTGGGAAGCCGTCACTATGGGAACACCTTCAGTGTGACGAATGTCTGAAGCCAGTAGAGCACCGCCCCAAGAATTACGTCACGTATACTTCATATCAGTGTGCTACGTGCTATTTCATCTGATTTCTATGACGAAGGAAGCACTATTGAAGGTATGGGAACGGCCGACATTGCAGAGGTTACATCCGTAACCAAGATGTTCCCTTTCATATGTTCACTTCAACTCTGTGAAGCCATCGCTATGGGAACAATATACCATAACGCCTGCACGTGAGGATAGCTGGAAGATCGAGGAAACAGTCCGCTCAAGCAGATAAACCTGGGTGCCAGGAGCCATCCTCACATCCAGACCATAGAACTTGATAAAGGTGATTGGAGAGGACCATCATGCCGCAACACAAATATCTTCCAATGAAGAGCATTTTAAGAGAGCCTGAGAAGAAGCCATTCCTCTGGCAGGATGAACACACACACCTAGAGGCGAAGCCATGTTACACGCCTCATAAGACGCAGAGATAGCCTTAATCAACCAATTGAGACAACCTCTGTTTGGTGACAGCAGCTCCTTTGTTTTACCCTCAAAACATTCAAACGACAGGTAGATACACCACTGGACTGTGCGGTCTACATAGATCTTCAAAATCTTCATCGGGCAAAGACCAAGAGATCATAAATCACCCCAATCCCAAAGTTCCCAAAAAGCCTCAAAGACCAGCCCCGGGCAAAGTCCATACAAGAAGGGCTGATTGAAAGAGCCTGCAGGTCCCCTCTTCTCTAAGAGAGAATAGAGCCACCAAAATGACCGTCTTAAAGGTCAAAAACTTTTCTGACACCACGTAGCCTCTGGTGTCACCCTGGCTGTCCATCTCTTCGGCATGAGGTCATTGCACATCGCTCGGTGGCAGATGCCGGTAAACTCCTCCACATAATCCTCCAAATATCGGCCACCTTGAAAAATAAAAATAACTCCTCCACATAGTCCCAGGCAGGGTCATGGTGCCACATAGATGTCAACGATTTCCATATTACTTTTATTCTTTTAGGTTCGGTCTTCTGTCACGTTTCTGTGTAGTACAATCCAAATAAAGCGCACAAAGAAGAAGGTTCACAAAGAGTTTTAATAAACACATAGCAACACACTACACATTACCATAAAAGAGACTGAACAATGAACAGAAGAAACTCAGGGCTTAAATACACAGACTAGATAATTAATAGGAACTGAAACAGGTGCGTACTAATCATAAACCTTAGCAACTAATAAGCAAAGGGAACACAGGGAAACAGACACAGGGAAAATGAGGCACAATGACAAAGAAACAGAACTATACAGAACATAACTGTGACGTATCCTACTGTTCAGTGAACAGCAACTGAAGCTTCAGTAAATGCTTAGTGAGTCAAAAACAGGAGCAGCAGGTCATGTGATGTGATGGAGATAAATGAAATTAACTTCATCTTCAGTTATCACAGTACTTTATGCTGAGACTTATTTTATGTTCTATCTTATTATTTTACTAAATTGAAAAGACACGCCTTACTGAGGACAAAGATGTGACTATGAGAGAGATGATCTTACCACAGTTTCTCCAGTTTACAGTGAGGATCCTTCAGTACAGCAGAGAGCAGATTCACTGAATTTCCTATTATATTCCCAGACAGATTCAGTTGTCTCAGGTGTGAGGGGTTTGATCTCAGAGCTGAAGCCAGAGAAGCACAACCTTCATCTGTAAGACCACAATTATACAACCTGTAGAGAACAATGACACACTCCCTCAGTTCAAATCAGATCAGTTTAGCAGTGAATCCATAGAAAGTAGAAACTTAAAGGGATAGTTCACCCAAAAATGAAAATTTGATGTTTATCTGCTTACAAACAAAACCAAATTAAACCCTGCGGCTTGTGACGATACATTGATGTCCTAAGACACGAAACGATCGGTTTGTGCCAGAAACCGAACAGTATTAATATAATTTTTAACCTCAAATCCACCACTATGTCCAACTTCCTTCAGCGCGCACGCTCCGTTGCGTGAGATGTGTACGCGCTCTGGCGTAGTTTACGCAAGCGCCGGAAGTGATCTCTCGCGCGTATACGTCACGCATTGTTTACACAGTGCACAGTCATTGTAGGTACGACGGCTAATCAAAATGGTACTTACTTGCGCTTATCCGGATTGTTCAAACCGACTTAAAACTAAAAGATTACGTTCTCTCGCGCGAACTCATTTGGGAGTGGTGACTTTCCACGTATTCCCCACTTCTGAGCCTGCTCGCCTGAAGTTATGGTTGATTGCTCTTCGGCTGGATATCAACACACCCATTAACGTAAACTACGCCAGAACGTGTACACACCTCACGCACCGGATGCCGTGCGCTTGCTCAAAGCAGTTGGACATAGTGGTGTATCAGAGGTAAAAAACGATATAAATACTGTTCAGTTTCTTGCACAGACCGATCGTTTCGTGTCTTTACACATCAATGTATCGTCACGAGCCGCAGGGTTTAATTTGGATTTGTCTGTGCATGTTTTATTTACTCTCATAGATTTTGTTACCATTGCCATGCATTATACGACTGATAGACTGCAACGGTTGGATTTAAAAATCATAATTTGTGTTCTACTGAAGAAACAAAGTCACCTACATCTTGGATGCCCTGGGGGTAAGCAGATAAACATAAAATTTTCATTTGTGGGTGAACTATCCCTTTAAAACACAAATCAATGTTTGATGGATCATTGGGCTGAGGTTTAACATGTCACAAAGCACAAAACAATAAATAATATTTCTTAAGAGCACTATTTTGATGCTAAATCGGTTTTAAATTACACTATTCACGACATAACTGAGCATCAGGTTGTGATGTGAAAGTGTGTATTTCAACTCATGTTTTCAGTCATTTACAGCTCAATCAGCTGAACTCTCAACAGCAGAAAGAGGCTGAACACTTCAAATATACATTGTGTTTCATGTGTGATAGTCATATGTGAATATGTGAAGTGACATGTGGCCAAGGAGGGCTATGCATACTCGGAATTTGTGCTCTGCATTTAACCCATCCAAGTGAGAGGCACCAACGATCTTCTCAGCTG